TCATAATTTCTGAAACCATATATGCTCTATGATGCTTTCAAAATAATGAAAAAAAATGGAATCAAACTCTGTGTAAATTGGGAAGGGTGGAGGGGGTGAAGGGTGCACAGGTAATGGGAGAAAAAATAAGAACTAAGATACATCATGTTCTGGTACAAACACCCAATGATAAATGTAAATGTATCTTATACCTAAAATGTACCAAATATACTTTTAGTACATATAAGATGTACTAATATATATATACAAATTTTCAAAAAGAATAATTTAACCATGGAAAGACTCTGTGCCCTAAAATATCTATCAGAATTATTTATAAGATGCACAAACATGTGAAGAGTTTTCTTGTCCAGCAATAAACATTTAAATATTTTATACTACTTATACCGGTTAAATTTGTGTATAGGTATTATATGTTCATCAAGTTAGTAAAGAATATAAAATATTTATCATATAATATTAAGTTGAAAGTCAACACATGAAGTTGTACTCACAGTATATATTTCAACATTAAAAAATACATTGACATGGGAAAGAGATTGAAATACATTTACCAGAAGATAAATAAAGCTTTGTTAGATGCTGAGATGATTGATGTTCTTAAATTTCCTTTTTGATTCTTTTCTGCAGTTTCAATTTTTACCTGATTATTACATATTCTTTCTAGAATAAGCAAAACTCATTAAATATTAATTATCTTTTTTAAAAACATAAAATCAGGTCCACATAATTATACCCAGATCAAGTGCCTCCTTCCACCGAGACAAGGAACTGGCGTCCCAGTCAACTCTTCTCTCAGGACTCTAAGGAGTGAGTTTTCTGTTAGAAACCCATCAGCAAGCAAGTACTGAGGATCCTGGAGGAATGAGGGCCAATTGGTCAACCTTGACAGGGTACAAGCTGGAATATGCACAGCCCGGCCCCATCCTATGGAGCTTCCAGTGTACTGAAATAACCAACAATCTCCACGACCTGGCAGCTAAATCAACTTGATCATTGTGTTCCCCTAAGACCAGCTACGTCATCACTATTGTGTCAGTAAAAGACTTTGGGTTGTTGCTTGATCATTTTGACTGAGGATGCTAACCAAAATTATTCCACATCCACAAATAGCCATGGCACTTTTCATCAAGTACATTCCTGTTATTTCCATCTCTTTACCATTGTTGTGTTAGAGTAGAAACCCACTGCACTGACCAGGGGCATCTGCTGTGGACCAGTGCTTCCTTCATTGAAGAATGGTCTTTTCCACATTATGCCTTTTTAGAGAACGATGCTTCACAAACAGCATTAAGGAGAGATATTCCAGCTGACATACTGGAATAAGTTTATTTACTCATGGAAAGCATAGATATTTTCCCTGTGAGAGGTTATTATAACTGTCATTATTAAACAGTTCTTAAGAGTATTTGCTTCTAAAACTCAAGCAAAACTTTACTTGGGATAACAAAGTATTCTCAGTTTAAACAGGCCAGGTTAAGCATGTTGAACAAGTGCATAAAACTTGGCTATTTCTCCTGAATTTTTCCAGGTTAATTCTTTATAATGTCCCGATGCCCCCATGTCTTTGCTTTTACCATTCTCCACCTCCTTAGTTTCCTGTCTCCCCATCTACGTTTTCTTATTCTATAATTTTGCTTCTCTATTTTTAAAGAAATACCCTTTGCTTTAGTTAACGAAAGAACAAACAAATCCTAATTATCTGACGCCTCAATTCTATCCTTAATATTTCATACTTTGAAAGTAATTTATACATCAAACAATGACCAGTATGGTTGCAAATACTCATTTTAAGTGAGAAGAGTTGTCTTGACGTGGGAGTAAATGATCTATTATACTATCCTGTAATTATTTAATTACAGAAGTCTAAACTATATGATAAACTTTTATTTCTTTAACAATAGTCATCTCTAATACAGTGATTATTCATGTGGTGCCCCATAAAATCTACACATATGTATTATTTTTACCATATTACATAAGAAAATGCCTAAAATCTAGCAAATGAACAACCTTGCCTAGGGCCAAGTTCACTGCAAGTGAGTGGTCAAATGAAAACTGAATGATCAGGAAAGACTTTTTCCCTACCCTAGGAAAGTAAGTCCCCTGGAAAGATGACATAGAGCATTTATGACATGTCAAAAAATAATCCAAGCCTGGGCTTACATGGCACACAACCCCTGGAGAATTAGGCAATTTTACTACAGCTATGTTAGTGACCTAAGGGGTGCATCCGAGAATGTTCAGTCTACTGGAGAAGTGAGCTCACCTCCTCCAATCAGGACTATCATGTGTTCCCTCCCGCCTCACCCTGCCACAAACCTCCAAGCATCCGTGTTCATCCCTGAGTCTTTCCCTAGGTATCCTCCACAATTCCCTTCCATGCAGAATTTCATCTCTGCATAGAAACTGGTGCCACATCCATACTTAAAGTCACTTTTTAAGACATCTTTTTCAAACCACTTTCCATTCATATCATAGCTCTGTGGTTTAAAAAAACAAAAAAGCCAGTAAATACTGACCCTTTGTTCTCATCCTGTGCTCAGTTAATGCACTGCAAGTTAACTATAGTTTGCAAAGCAATGAAATTCAAGGCTTCGGCCACATAAATCCATCGTCTACATTGACTTCTCTGAGCTCTACACTCATCTATCTAACTTCTTATGACATATTTTCCCTTGGCAACATCAAAGATATCTCAAGGTCAATCTGAATGAAAATCGTCTTTCTCCTCTAAACATTTACCTTTTATCTGATTATGGTCTCAGAGAGACAGCCTCCCCTCTCCAACTCCAAAACCTGATGTTATACTCAATTTAATCCACTTCTTTACTTTTAAATTTTAACAAGTCCAAAAACTCTATTCTGTCTCTTTAACTGATTCTTAAATATACCCCAACTTTCCATTTCCAGTGTAACTCTCTTTAGTTAGGGCTCATGGCTATCTTGCTTAAACTATCAAAGTATCTAATTAGATTTTTCTGTTATCAGCTCTCTTTTTAAATCTGCCTTCCTTTCTAACTGGCAGGGTGATTTTCCTAAAATTAAAGTTATTTAAAATCATTGAATGTTTTTACAATCCAAGCCCAAGCTTTCCAGCATAATAGTAGACTCTTTTATCACCTGGTCCTTGATGATATTTCTTGTCTCTTCTCAGCCAATTGCCATCAGTCCATATCCTGAATTCTCACCATACTGCAATACTTCAGATTTGTCTAACACTATGTATCCTAATTTCTCAAGACTGTACTGATACATCTTTTCCTTTTGCCTATAAACATGCTTGCTGGCTTTTGTTCTAGCTAAATTACATTAAAGCTTCAGAGATTAACCAAGTGTCATATTTCCACTGAAGTCTGGCTACTGTCCCCGAATTCCTCCAGACCTGAGTTGCATTTCTTTTCTCTGTGCTGCCAGAGGACCCTGTGTTAATCACTTCCTAGAACTTTTAAAAAATGGTGATAAGAACACAACATAAGATCTATCCTCTTAATTTTTAAGTGCACAATACAATATTGTTAACCATAAGCACAACATGTATAACATCTCTACAACTCAGTCATCTTACAAAACTAAAACTTTATACCTGGTGGATGGCAATTCCATTTTCCCCTTTCCTTTGGTGCTGGAAAGGAAATCACCATTCCACTTTTTGTTTTTATGAATTTGAGTATTTTTATGTATCTCCTCTAAGTGGAATCATGTAGTAGTTGTATTTCTGTAACTAGCACACTTAGTGTAATGTCCTCAAGGTTCATATTGTTGCATATTGATTTCGGGATTTCTCTTTTTATTACTGAATAATATTCCATTGCACATACTTATCTCATTATCCATTTTCCTATTGATGAATTTGTGTTTTTCCCCATCTTGGTTATTGTGAATATTGCTCCAGTGTATATGATAAGGCTAATATTGTCTCAAAATTCTGATCTTAATTCTTTTGGCTAAATACCTAGAAGTGGGATTACTGTATTATATTACAAAGTTGCACTAGTTAAAACAGTACGGTACCAACATAAAGATATATCTAGACAAATGGAACAGAATGAAAGATTCAGAAAGGAATCTACACATGTGCAGTCAGCTTATCTTCAACAAAGGCGCCAAGAATACATGACAGAAAAGGGCTTTCGGCAAATGTCAGGAAAATTGGATATCCACATGAAAAAGAATGAAATTGGACCCTTATCTTACACTATAGATAAAAATTAGCTCAAAATCCATTAAAGACTGAAACATAAGACCTACAGCTACACAACTCCTAAAAGAAAACACAGGTGCAAAACTTCATGAAAATAGTCTTGCAATGATTTCATGGGTATGACGCTGAAGGTGTAGGCAAACAAAGGAGAAGGAGGACAGTGGGACCCACTCACTGAAGTGAAAAACTTCTACACAGTAAAAGAAACAGTCAGCAGATGAAATGTTTTGCTAGCACATTTTACTGCTTTGTATTTGTTGCTTCCCTAGTCTTCACACACATACACACACACACACACACACACACACACACGTGCGTGCACACACACACATGCATGCGGGTACATTGCTTGCTAATTTGAACCTGGCAAAACAACCCCTGTGATTTTCAAGATCAAAGCTAGAGAATGATTCTCACACTGCAGATTTTGGCAGGAGGTAGGAATTGTGGGAAGAAGGCAAGTTGGAAGGAGGAGAAAAAGAGAAATACAGGCATGCTTCCCAGAAAATTTCCCAGAATGTCCTTGGATATCAAAGGATTACTCTCTGATTCTTCTTTGTCCCTTGTTTGGACAAGTATAAAGATTCACAGCGAAACTGGCTCTGTTCACTGTGGGGAAATATTTCTCCAAAAGTCAAACAATTTCTTGGCAGGTTTACCCAACCATGGAAATTTTTACCTTCGTGACGTAAAGGTGGTTCTAACTTCTGTTCTTTAAGCACATTCTCACAATTTAAGTCTATAATAAGACTGGAGGCTGAACACAATGCAGAACAAAATAATGGTAGGGACTTACCTGATAAAATACATATATAAAATCAAGGAATAGATGATGAACAGGAAGATGTAAAGTAGCATGGTGATCATCACAGCAAGAATTTGTGATTTCTGTGTTCTTACAAACACCTAGTAGAGCTTCTTCGCTGCATCGGCTATAGGAGCCTCCCCATTATGTGTAGTCACTGACAAAGGAAAACACAGATTAAAAGAATAAGAATGGAAACATTGATAATCAAGTTAATTTAAAGACAAAAAAACTGTATGGTACTCTAACATTTTTAAATTAAATCTTCTAAATAACAAAATTGCCAGATCTTCAGTTACACAAAAGGAAAAAAAAAAAAGACTGGGTGTTGCATGCTTGGCCTATTGTTTTTCTCATTTTGCCCTCCAAGCATTTAAATGCATGTACTCAACCCACAATTCATGAAGTAAAAGCCATGTTTTATTTATGTGCTATTAACTTCTGAATTTAATGAGCACAAGATATGAAGAAATTAAATATGATGGTAGAAAGATTCCTTTCTCTCTGAAGCAGATTTGATAGGAATTTAATTTGTGCTATGCATAAATGAGATGGCTTATTTTAGAAACTTATAAAAAAGTTATCAGGCTATTTAATGTGATCTTGAAAACCAAAGTTTACATTAGGTTAATTCAAAAATAAGCTTTTGTTTTAGATGAGGAAAAACATTCTATATTGGATTAAAATAAACACATGGAAATGAATTTGCTAAAGACAAATATAAATTGCTAAGGACCTACAGTATCAGCATATGACTGCATTGGCCTTTGAGTTTTAGAAAACATGAACATTCTTTAATCACAATCCTCATAATATCAAGTGGAAGTAATATGCAATGGAAGTATAAAGTAATGTATTTTTTTTCTCCAAAACAAGAGAAAAGGAAGAATATCTTTAGTTTCTAAGCTGACAATTATGTAAGTATAGCTTAAGACACTTTTAAAAGTAGCTAATCCAAATCACATATGTGTAGAAGAAAACAGAAACCTAGACAGGTTAATTTGTATTTTCTCTGCACTAAAATATACTGTAGTAATTGGGCAATGACTAGCATTCAGATGCTCCAGTTCTCAACTACTGCTTCTTTGTCTACCACACCAAACTTTTATTTTTATACTCTGCATTTGTTAACCAGTCTCCCTCGCACAATGGGATGACCTGCTAGATCTCTGGGCATCAGAATGGTAAGTGTTGTCATGTATTTCTCCCTTTCCAGATCTCACTTTTTACTGTTCCTCAAAGATAAAAAATTGACACAGGATTCATTATTGTGTCAACAACAACAGAAACCATGTATGTTTGATGCCAATAACATGATGGATATGGATTAAATCTAGAATGTCCTCTGGTGCCCTCATATGTTCAGAGGCAGGGCTTTTGGAAGGTAACTGGATCACAGGGGCTCTATACTCATCAATGGAGCTCAGAGTTAAATATGCTGCTAGGAGAGGGGGCCAGGTTGGAAGAGGCAGGGAACTTCGGTAACCCAGAATGGTTTATCTCTTTCCTTGGCTCCTCCCTTCTCTCTCTGCTTCCTGGTTGCCATGAGATGAGTAACTTCCCTCTGGCCAGGCCCTTCCACAGCACTGTTTGCCTTGGAGTCAGCATACCTTGGACTGAAACTGTGAGCCAAAATGAATCTCTCTTCCTTTAACTTGTGGGTGCTGAGCATTTTGTACCAGCAACAGAAAAGTGACTGAGATAATGATCTAATCCATAGATGTAGATCACTCATTTGACCCACCTATATTGAACTCCTACTATCTTTAAACTCAGAAGATAAAAGATGGAATAAAGTTAGATAAAAGCATTACTCTCTTGGAGTTTAATTTTCAGTGTGTGTGTGTGTGTGTGCGCACACGCGCGCAGTGGGGGGGGTTGTAAATGATTAGTAAGCTTACAAGTAAGATTAAGAAAAACATATGAGCCATCAAAGAATGATATGAAAAAGATAAAGAAAAAAAGGTATAGGAAGTATGTTAGCCAGCTCTCTGTCAGTGTGACAAAATACCTGAGATAAACAACTTATAAGCAGGATGGGTTTGTGTTGGCTCAGTTTCAGAGGTTTCAGTCCATGCCTAGCTCCCTCTTTGTCTTCCAGCCTGTGATAAGGTGATGATGCATCATAGTGGGGATGTGCACTGAAATAGGATGATTACCTCATGGGGTCGAGGAAGCAAAGATAGAAAGAAGAATGGGGAGGGCCCCAGCAGCCCTTCAAGGGCAGCCCTAAGCCTCTGTTCCTCTCCCAAGCCCTACTTCCTAAAGCTTCTGCCACCTCCCAGTAGTACCACAGGCTGGGGTCCCAGCCTGTATCACATGGGTCTTTGTGCAACCTTCCAGATCCAAACTACAGCAGGAGAAGTGGGTGTGTGTTGTTAAATACTACTATCAGAAAATGTCTCACAAACAAATGGCATTTGAGTAAAGGGTGTAAAGGAATGAGCCATGTATCTGCAGATGGTATTCATCACACACTGCTCATACTATGTCACTGTGACATACTATGTCACTCATACTATGTCACATAGTTTTGATTTCCCCACTAGATTTTAAATCCTTCCCTGAACATTGAGGCAAAGGCTTTCATATACCTTGCATCATCTATAGGACATAGTAACATTAGCTCACTATAATCCTCTCATCTTTATTCTTTTTATTTTATGTGTAAACTTTTAAGGTATATTCCTATCTAATCTCTCATTGGATTCTCCCAATAATACTGAGAAATAAAAAAGTCAAGTGTTACTGTTTGTAGGTGTCACTACATTTTAGGGTGCCTATGTAGAAAATAAAGGCTAGAGAGATTAACTGTCTCATCCAGTGACAAATGGCAGTTTGGACCAGAACTCAGCTCCCCCAGTCCCAATTTTATGGTTTTCCTACTACTCCATGGTCAACTCCAATAGTGCTATAGTTTGAATGTGTCCCCAAAAAGCATGTGCTGGAAATTTAATCCTCAATGCAATTGTGTTAGGAAGCAGAGACTAGTGGAAGGTGTTTGGGTCATGAAGATCGATGCTCAAGTGGGATTCATCCCAGGGATGCAGGGATGGTTCAATATGCACAAATCAATCAATGGAATACAATGTATCAATAGAGCCAAGGACAAAAACCATATGATTATCTCCATAGATGCAGAAAAAGCATTTGACAAAATCCAACATGCATTTATGATAAA